GTACAAATACAACATGTTTCTGTTGTATATATTTCTTTCAATATATATTCAATATATATTTCTTTATATATATATATGTATATATATATATAAAGTATAAAAGGAGAATTATTAGAAAGTATGCATAGTATGAATAGTTTTTGTTACATATATATGTATATGTATAAAATATTAAAAAATAATCTGGAAGGATATATATCAAAAATTTTAAGGGTCTTTATCTTTGGGAAAGATTATTTGTAATTTTAATTTTACCTTTCATTACTTTGTTTCATCTGAATGTTATAATATGACTGTATGTAACTTCATAATAAAAAAACTCAAGCTATCCATGTAAGGAAAACATCTTTTTTGAAAATTGTGAGATGAATATATGCACACAGAAGTATTGCTTTCTTTCCTGATTAACACAAAAGATTGATTAGATTCAAATCGGATTCACAGGATTCAGAGATCTTTCCCATATTAAGCTTTAGTAATAATTTCAAGGATATAAGTAATCGTGAAGCACAGGTAAAACATTCACACTGCTTCCTAGGTCTTTCTTTGCCTTTTTAGAATGATCTGTGGGTTGAGTTTAACTCCGGAGATCTCTAAGTGATGTCTAAGTGATAAGTGAAAGCACATCACTTACAAAAACAAGACTACTTGCAGTGAGAACCATCTGCATTTTATTCTATGAAAATTAGGTAGCATGGTAATTACATGATATTTTTCAAGGAGCCGTGCCCTGTAAATCCATAGATTCTAAGTTTGTTTACCAGAGACAATTCTGAACAGAGCAGATGCATTCTGCTAAATAAAGACTATGCTAATATCATTAGTGAGTTCACCAGGAAGTCTGTCCTTAGAATGTTTATAAAAGGGATCTGATAGAATCAACTTTGTTTTTTTTTTTTTTTCCTTTTCCTTCCAGGAGCATTCCTGGTAAAGGAAGAGAATCGATTGTAGGACTGTTGTTAACCTTTTCTTTCTCATCTCTTAAAGTGAAAGCATTGAGAGGTATTATCACTGAATTTATGACTTATGAAGAATGTGTATGTTTCTTAACGGAATTTTTAATACTTTCATTATCATGGCTCCTATTCTGTACTCTAATTCCATCTCCTCTAAATTTCTCTTACAGTGTGGTGGCCAGAGTAAAGGCAATAATCCAATTGTGAACTAACCAGGACACTTGAATTTGGCAATTGCAGTTGTCAAAGTCCTTAATGATAGGCATTCATTCCTCCTCCTCTTTACACTGGGTCACCAGCAGATGTAATAATCAAGTCTTCTAGAGCTTCTTTCAAACCATTGCTAAAGGTCTGAGA